AAGCTACAAGTGAGACTCAAACCAGCGACCCCGAGCTCGCTAACTCGAGCGTTACCGGGTGCGTTAACCCTTTCCGGCATACATTTTTCTATTGGCTATTCTGGCTTGAAATTTCTTACTCGCGGGTTTTTGGGGTCGCTGAGTACGAATCTGCTAACGAAATTTTGATTTTTTCAAATCCAAGATGGCGGATTCAAGATGGCGCATGAAAATCCTAAAAATAGCATATTTTTAGCTAGAAATGAGTACTCGGGGATTTTTGGGGTCGCTGAGTTCGAATCTACTATCAAACATTTGATTTTATTGAATCCAAGATGGCGGATTCAAGATAGCGCATAAAAATCCTAAAAATAACACATTTTTGGATAGAAATGAATACTCGGGGGCCTTTTAGAGTAACTGAAATTGAATCTGCTATCATACATCATATTTTTTATTTTTGTAAAAAAAATGCCGCTCTTTGCCGAACCCGGAGACACGAACGAGGACGTGGCGGTTATAGTCTCCATTGTTTTTTTTATTTATTTTTTTTATTTTTTTTTGTTTTATTTATTATTTTTTATGCGTGATATTTGGAAAAATAGTTTCTTTGTGGCTGTAAACATTCTATTGATTCAATAGAATTTTTCATCGGTTTTTTTTTTCAAGTATCAGTTTTTTTCATGAATTATCCGCCATATTGAATATTGTAAATTTGAGCATGGATTCGTAATCAGCGACCCGAAAAACCCGTATATCAGAAATATTGTGAAGATTCAATGAAAATTTTCATAAAAATGTCAGCTTTTTTGATCAATTGTCCGCCATATTGAATATTGTAAATTTGAGCATGGATTCGTAATCAGCGACCCGAAAAACCCGTATATCAGAAATATTGTGAAGATTCAATGAAAATTTTCATAAAAATGTCAGCTTTTTTGATCAATTGTCCGCCATATTGAATCCGCCATCTTGAATTTTTGAAATCTGACTGTGGAATCGTAATCAGTGACCCCGAAAACCCCTACACCAGAAATATTGTGGAAATTCAATGAAAAGTTTTTCAGAAATGAATTTTTTTTTAAAAAAAGGTGTTTTTTCGGTATTTGTTTATTTCTATAAACAAATTAACACTAAATATAAATAATTGTTACGTAAATTATGGTTCTATAACATGTCAAGATCCCAAAATTACAAAAAACCCGGAGTAAATAGTATAAAAACTACTTTAAAACGTCGAAAAACTCTGTAAGAAAAGGTGGGTCCTGGGAGACCCGCTGTGCCGAAAAGGGTTAAACGGCTTGTTAAATATTCTGACACATTTGATGCACATACGGACTCACAAAACTTCAAAGTCGACTTTCTTGAGAATTTTTGAATATGACATAGACCTGCTTTAGGAAATTACTATTCGAATTCTCAACTTCACATACCATGAGTAAAAAAGATTACAAAAATCTGATTGTTGGAGACTCTCCTTGTAAGAAATATTCTAATATTCCGTTACGTTTGAAATATTAGTCTTTGCGACAGTCTATGCTAATTATTAAAAAAATAATAATATAATGCGTACAGATTGTAGAAAGTTTTAGTACTAAGCTGAAAAAGTTATATTTAATTTGTTTCTTCACAATTTAATTGTCTAAACGACTAACGAGTGACTGACTAGTGATACGAATTTCGTATTAGGCGTTAAATGTTCTTACATTGAAAAGCATCAAATATAATCTTATCAACCGAAGTTCGTCGTTTAAACAATTAAATTGTTACAGGCCCGTATCGCGTTTGGGCGTGATTTTCCGCCGAGGACAAGACGGGTGAAATCCACCACGTCACAACAGCTATAGCGAGTCGAGCCAAGCGTCTAGCTGGCTTAGCTCTTCGTCAGCAAACTTGGCTACACACATATAATATATGTGTGTGTAGTTCTGACACAACGGCACTACGCTACGGGCCCCGCAAATCGCTCACGTTACTGACGATGAGATCTACGGCAAGGAACAGCTAGCGCCATCTATTGGATTCTCAAGATAGTAAAATACGGGCCGAATGCAATTTGTCATTTTTTGCGTTTGTTAAACAGTTATTGACAAAATTATTAGATCATTCCGCTTTGTATCGTCCATAGCAAGGCGGCTCTTCTCGATTTAAGTGTGATGAGTCTCCTGATTCGCAGAAAAATAGGATTTAGTGAACGGTCGTAATGGCGGCGCCCATGATGTTTTGACAGGTCAGAAATGCACGATTTCTTTACGTACATTTTTCTCACAATTGAGACATTTTTCGCACCTAAATTGAGAAGAGCCGCCAGCCGTATCGCATAACGAAGCGGGCTCATCAAAGATTTTGCTAAATCATTTAGAAATGAAGGAGAATAACGGAAAATACGTTTCCTCGCTTGTGACGTCACGCAATATATACTACTATGGGCAAAAAATAATAAGACTTTGGTTATAACTTCTAAAATCTTTATTCATTCTTCCAAATCAAATTCATCGCCTTCAAAGTAGTCCCCCTTCGATGCAATACAATTATGCCAACGCTTTTTCCAATCCTCGAAACACTCCGAATGGTCCTTTTCCGGGATAGCTTTCAAAGCCCGCGGCGATTCGCGTTAAATGTTATCAATTGACCCGAAAGGGTGCCCGCGGAGTGTTTTTTTGAGTTTACTGAATAGCCAGAAGTCGCAGAGTACTAAATCAGGCGAATAAGATGGCTGCGGGACGATATGGGTCGGATTTTTCACGAAATGGTCTCGAAGAATCAATGCAGTGTGAGCCGGTGCATTATCGTGATGCATTGTAAAAATCGCCGAATGCACTTTTTCGTGTTTACAAAACCACGCGAATCTCAACACATATGATACATATGAACATGAAACTTCACACAGATGTCACTAACAGTGCTACCAACCTACAAAGAAATATAGGAGCATAGCTATTCCCCGCGAAATGTCAACATCAAATGTCTTACTATTTTTTGCCCACAGTAGTATAGCTAAACCAGGTAGACAGCAGCCTTAAAGGCGATACTGAGGGTACGTCGAGAGCTCTATTGAGCATTGCGGAGAACGTATTTGGGAGTCACAGCAATTGCGGCACTTGGTGTGAGGCCAAAGACAATCCGGAGTACGTATTCAAAATTTTGCCGAAAGGAAAACCTCTGTCGAGTAAAAGCCTGCAAACTGCGCTTTATGGAGTTCACATCTCGAGTGTTAATAGTTGCCCCAGGAGGATCCTCTCAACTAAACGAATGCTTCAACCATGTGGTAGTTACCAAACACCTAAGTCCAGGCATTATGCATCTTCGCGTTCCCTGATTCAGCGAGTGGCAGCAGCAGTTTGCGAGAAGAATCTCGGCCCTACACACATCATTGATGTACGAGTTGATGTTGTATTACCGCCAGGAGTGATCGCTGAGCAATACCGACTTCGACGAGAAGCGTTGAAGCAAGTAGTAGCTGCAAAACGTCTCATGCTCGAAGCGAAACGCCGTCGATGTTTACTAAAAAACAGGAAACAACGTATCATCATAGCACGAGAAAGTAGGGAAGGAATAACCTATCAATCCGGCATGGGACTGGATGTTGATATAGAATCAACTGCTGAAATTGACGAGCCCCTCTTTGAAAACAGTCCACAACTCATAGTTGACATTGAAACGACCAGTTTAGTATCTACTACAGACATCATTCAAATAGCAGCAAAGTGTGGCGATCAGAAGTTTGCAAGGTATATGCTACCTTCTCAAGCTATCAATTGCCGATTCAATTGGACAATTGCTTGGCGCGCGTGGTAGGGTAGTAGTCCCTCGAGCGCTTCGAGCGAAACTCGCAAAATTTAGGCGTTTTTTCAATCGGATAATTTAACCCCTTAGCGTACTCGTATTTGGATGTTTAAAAGCGCGTTTTAATCGTTGAAATCTCAGCTACAACGTGGATAAAAATGAAACTTCTATTTCATCGCTTTCCTAAGGAAAAATGGCGGGGAAGCTTCGGGTGCGCTTGCGAAATCTCGAGATCTCCGTCACGGGATCATCTCCGAGAACAATAATTTTGTAAGAATCTGCAGTATCATTAAAGATGATATCATGCAGAAACTGGACCAGATTGGCCGGCGCGTTCGGAAGTTATGGCCATTTAAGTGTTTTCAATTCAAGGGGGTGTAACTCCCCCTAGAGTGATCCTACAGGGGTTCAATGAGGTTTTTTTTTAATGTTGAAGGATGCTCTCTCTCGTGCCCTAATTAGAAATATAAATTTCCTTCCAGAACTAGTAGATCTCGAATTTTTCAAAAAGTTCCAAAATGCACTTTTTCACTCCAACCCCTGCCATTCGGCTATTTTGTATCCGATCGGGATAAAACCTTTACCATTCGAACGGGAAGGAAATCTCCTAAAACATATGTCTTTGGTTTTTTGAAATCTGTCATACTTTCACAGATATGTAAAAAAATTCAAGTGTTGCACTTCAATTGGACGTTACTGTATATACAGGGTGGTCCAAAACTACCTGACCCGGTGGGTATGGCGGTGTTCGGGAGGCTTCTTTTTGTCCGGAAGGTCATAGTTTTTAAATGGGAGCAGGTCAAAGTTGACCAATCAGAGGGAGGCGTCAAGAGAAACGTAGGCACCTGCGAACTCTGAGTTTCCTTCCCTTGCCTTTTGATTGGTCAACTTTGACCTGCTCCCATTTAAAAACTATGACCTTCCGGACAAAAAGAAGCCTCCCGAACACCGCCATACCCACCGGGTCAGGTAGTTTCAAGAGAAACGTAGGCACCTGCGAACTCTGAGTTTCCTTCCCTTGCCTTTTGATTGGTCAACTTTGACCTGCTCCCATTTAAAAACTATGACCTTCCGGAGAAAAGGAAGGTCATTTTCGTGATCAGTGGTGTTTCCCGAACTGTCCCGAACATCGCCATATCCCGTTGGTCAGGTAATTTCGGAACATCCTGTATATCTGTTTCAACATGTTGGGGCCACTTTTAACGTTGAGTGTACTTTCAACAGCGCCATTCCCCTTCCAGAGTATAAGTTCTATGGAAGATAAGCACAACGATTGGCTACCAACTATTCACTTTTCGTATTTTCACTACGTTTAACTGCATTTAACGTACACGATCGACCCCCTGAAGGGTGTGTTTCACAACTTTTTGCAAGTACTGCGAACATTGTCGTATCTCTTTTTTCCTTAATGTATCTCAGAAGGATGCAATATTGTTCGCAAAACGTGCAGTGAGCTATGGAACACACCTCTAATAATGGTAAAATTTCTTTTCAATTTTACAGAAAAACTATTAATCTATAAGCCATTTAATTGAGTTCGTAATCATTTACAAACGACTCACAATTGATTCGTCAAAAAAATTAATAGTACATATAGTTAAGGTTGGTCGGCTAATTTAATGGAGATAGAATTCGTCCAATGACGGTTTTTGATATTTTATTCGTAGGACTTATACGACTGATTTGAGAAGGCTCCTATATGAAAGAAGAGGAAAGATAATAGAACCGCTCCTCTGTGCTCCTCGTTCATACAACGGTAAATGATTGAGGTTAGTTTAATTTATTTTATGGTAAAACTACAAAATACGACTCCCTGTCGAAGAGATTCAAATAAAAAATCTAAACAATCCACAGCTAAATTTAAGGAAGAATCGTATTCTGTAGTTAAGTTAGTACGAGCGGTATAGTCCCATCATGTGAGAGTGAAAATGGAGAAAAGTTTTAAACAAATGTAAAGCATGAAGTTGACACTCAGAAAGTTATATTTGAGAAAAAATAAAGTGCCTCTACTATAAAAAAAAAATAGTTGTAAAATTATTAATAGTGAAATAACGAAAGCGTAACTGCTTAGAGGTCATACCTTGTACAAGTTTTCTGAAAAAAAATCTACATCACTTGTCCAGTTTCAATGTACTATAGCCTATTTTATTCGTTGAGCGATTTTCTAGAAATTCACTGGATTAGATTCCTCGATTAGCGCTATTGTTTTTCAAGAATTGTTGCCAAAGAAATTGTTTATTGTATCGTAGTATGAACAAATAGCTATATTCTTAAACTAAAGAATCTTCTAAAGAACTAAAGAAGCTATATTCTTAAACTAAACAAATAGCTATATTCTTAAACTAAAGATCTCTAAAGAATCTTTTAACGAATAAAATATGCTATAGTAGATTGAAATCGGACAAGTGATGTAAATTTTTCTTCAGAAAAATGGTACAAGATATGACCTCTAAGCAATTACCCTTTTGTTGTTTCACTGTTAATAATGTTTAAGCTATTATTTATTTTTATATTAGAGGCACTTTGTTCTCAAATATAGCTTTCTGAATGTCAGTTTCATGTTTTACATTTGTTTAAAACTTTTCTCCATTTTCACTCTCACTTGATGGAACTATACCGCTCATACTACTTTAAGTCCTCTAAAATATTCTAGAAGCAATTATTATTGTCGATGTAGGAATAAGAACAAAAAATCTATTTTATGGTAAATACTATTTTTATTTTTAACGTTATAAATATAATCTTTGCAGGAATCATGAACTGTACATTATTCAGAACTGCTCATCGTGGTATTGGGCACTTATCAAGAATTGGATGCTCACAATGGATTGTAGAAAATACCAAGCGCAATATGCACTTTTTGATTAACAATCAATCTTCAATATCTCTATCAAACTTAGTTGGTGCTATGAAAAAAACATTATTACCTGTTTCAACTTCCTTTTATAATCAACTCTGTGGTATGAAAATGAAAGGCAGACTTGAACGCCGTTGCAAAGATTGTTATTTTGTGGTCAGGCAAGAAAGATTGTATGTTATGTGTAAAACGCATCCAAGACATAAGCAAATGGCTATAAAACCCCATGAAAAAACAAAAAGAATATTAACTGTTGCAATGCAAAGCCCAAAAAGACCTTGGTAGTAAAATTTATAAATATTATCAGTAATAATAATCAATAAATATTTGATTTATAATTCATAATTGTATAAAGTTTCATGTGCAACTCATTTAAGTTTATAAATAACTGATATAAAATTTTTTTTTATTTTGTGTTCATATTTTTGCAAGTATAACCCTGTGTTTACATAACTATTCTCGGTCCCCTAGTTTTGCACACTGATGCAAATTCACACTAGCGATTTCAATAGCTTTTATCTCTGGTCTCAAATGATCAATTTTAATTTTCTAACAGTGTTATTGAAAGTTTGAAATGCCCCCAATTAAATGATAATTATAACATTTGCAAAAGAAGTTTTTTTATTATAAAAATAGGGCTTGGTCTAGTCAATTTCTTACAGATATGCGGATAGATAAATATCCACTGTTGCAAATTCGTACCAGTGTATATTAAGATAAATATGTATATTTGCAAACTTCAAATCTTAAAATTATTATGAACTATAAGAGAAGTAGTGAAACTAAAAATGTACATAGAAAATGCATATAATTGCATGTTATAGAAGTTCCACATAATTTGAAAATTAATCATGTTTTCTTATATTTATAATAGTCAATAACGTTATTTACAAATTTGAAATTCGTATTCTAAATATTTGTTTAAAATATATAATATTCTCTCCTCAAATGGGGATCCATCATTGTTAGGCTGCGTTTCATTTGGACCCTCACGCGCTGTAAGCACTCACGCTTTTGAGCGTTGCTTGCAAGCGTTTCGTTTGGTCGTTGAGTGTTGATAGGTATAGAGGTGCGGAGGACGTGGTGGGGGTATGTCAAGCATATACTATAGTAAAATTTTAGTTCCAATCCCGGCGGGTAGATGGCGCCCCGAAAATCCCAAGCTATCTTGTGGTGCTGCCTATGAGTGGGGATTTGTACTAAAAGAGACTGTAGCGCGCACGCGCAAATTGTTTGCAAGAAACAAGCACCATTTGTTCCGAGTGACATTAATAACACAAACAACATTCTAAATAGAATTAATGATGGAGAAATTGTAGGATTTATCACGCGTATCAAAGATTATATAATAGAAACTAATTTCAGTGTTATAACTCTTATTGCTTTCTATTGGGAATGTATATT